CGAGGTTGGCGGTGCGCCTGGTATCCCAGGCTACTCGGAGGGTGGATGGAGCAGGAGAATGGCGTGAACCCTTGGATGGCAGAGCTTGCAGTGAGCCGAGATCACGCCACTGCACTCCGCCTGGAAGACAGTGCGAGACTCCATCTCAAAAAAAATAAATTTGTTGATTGGCCGGGGGGGCAGTGGCTCATGCTTGTAATTCCAGCACTTTGGGGAGGGCTGAGGCAGGTGGCATCACCTGAGGTCAAGAGCTGAGACCAGCCTGAGCAACATGGCGTGAAACCTCGTTTCTACTAAAAATACAAAATTACCCAGGTGTGGTGGCGCCGCGCTTGTAATCCCAGCACTCAGGTGGCTGAGGCAGGACAATCGCTTGAACCCGGGAGGTGGAGGTTGCAGGGAGCCAAGACCACATCATTGCACTCCAGCCTGGGCAACAAGAGAGCCAAAAATCCGTCTCAAAAACAACAACAAGCAACAAGCAACAACACATTTGCTGATTAAATGACACATCCATTTCATAACTTCGCCCTAGAGAGCCTGAGGCTCAACGTGTAGGAGTGGGTAGAAAGAGACATGAGTGAAATATTAATCTCCATGATGGCATGCATGGAGGTTTATCCTGGAGTATGTGGCATCCCGAAACAAGGGGTCCTGCGCAGGGAGAAAAGAAGTTGTGAGCAAATCACAAACGTCCCTTTTGCCTGACAAGATTAGACAACCTCCATTGACTCAATTCTTAATGCTTTTTTTTTTTTTTGAGGCAGGGTCTCTTCAGTTACTAGGGTTGCTTAAAAATTTAAAAAAAAAAAAGATGGAGAGACAGGGTTTCACCATGTTGGCCAGGTTGGTCTTGAAGTGCTGAGCTCAAGCCATCTGCCAGCCTCAGCCTCCCAAAGTGCTGGAATTACAGGCGAGAACCACCGTGCCCAGCCAATTCTTAGACTTTTGCAGCCGCCATCTCCATCTATTCTCTACCCTACATGTCACTCCTCTTCTTAAAACCAAAAGATTTCCACTGTACTTAGAAAAAACTCCACATTCCTTTCTATGACCTACAAGCTCTACGTGAGGAAACCCCGACTCTCCGACCTCATCTCCTACCACTTTTTCCCTTTCTTACCATACTCCAGCCACACTAGCTTTCTTTCTGTTCCCTGACGATACTCCCAGTCGATTTCTGCCCCGGGGCCTTCGCACTGGTTGTTCCCGCTGCCTGGACCACTCTCTCCCCATATCTTCCCATACCCTCCTCCTAATTTGGGTCTCAACGCAAATGTCACGTCTTCAGAGGCGCTCTGCTAGACCACAGTATCTAATGCTCACCCCTCTGCCCCACCCTCACACCAGTTACCCTGTCATATCGTCCTCTTCCATTTTTTTTTTTTTACCACACAGCCCTACTTGAAGTTTCTTTCTTTTCTCATTAACCAAAACTGGAGGGAGGAAAAAGCCCATCATTTTCCCTGGACAGCAGCGCCTACTGGGAGTTTGACCCGCATTAACATGCAAGCGACAGGAAACTCCTAGTCATCCTTCCAAAGACCCTGCCCCAAAGCCCTGCCGAGCCCGGTGCGCACCTGCTCACCTCCGACCCAGCGCGGTCGCACGAGGACTGGACGTTTGAGTCCGAGCTACTCCCCCGGCTGAGGCGGCTCTTCGGGGGCTGGGCCGGGACCTGAGTCTGGGACTCCAGCTCCCGGCCCGGGGCCGATAACTGAGAAGAGAACAAGCCCAAGGGCAGACTGTCCGGGGCTTAGTCGTGGTTCGGGACATGGGGACCAGCAAGGGCCGGGACGGGAAAGACGAGTTTTCTGTGTTTTTAAACTGGAGTCTCGCTTTGTGCCCAGCTGAAGTGCAATGGCATGATCTCACTCACTGCAACCTCCGCCTCTTGGGTTCAAGC